CCCTCATAACCCCCCGACTGCAAATTCTCTCTAAACGCATCGTTAACCATCGCAACCGTACTTACCCCAACATCTACTTCCGTTGTACGTTCTTCTACGCTATCCGGAAAATAAGGTGCATTACTACTAGTACTACCATATTCGTAATTGCTTTCTCCATGTAAAAACCAAACCTTATATCTCGGCCTAAATCCATATCTATATAAGTGATTCCAAACACTATGCACCTTAACACTAATTCTATTACAGCAATTAGAACATGGACATTTGATATCCTGACCTTTTTTTGCTGCATCTTGATTTCTGGGTAAATTCATGAACTCGCATATACCTGCAGCGTATGCGGACGTTAATAAGTTCGAGCCCATATCCATCATTGGCTCGTCCATCCAAGACCGAAAATATGAACCCATCGTTTTTTACAATTGTGTTATGAATTGTGTTATGAACGAATGTAGAAATGTCGAAGGTTATATAGAACGGATTTCCGTCGGAAATCCGTTACAAAAATCCGACATAACACCCCACCAATCCCATCGTCCACCGCTAACGAAATGCTAACCACTCAAAATTTGCCGACATCGACATACCGACGGATTTCCGACGGATTATTTCCGTCAGTATGAGCTGACCACTCAAACTTTGCCGACATCGGAATTCCGCCGTTATTCCGTCGGAAAGTCGTCGGAAAATTACGACATCTTTTTCCGTCGGAAATCCGTTTGTACGGGGCGACGGATTTTCGACGGAATACCGACGGCTTCCGTGTCCGTCGAAAATCCGTCACACTAAACCGACGGATTTCCGACGGATTAATTTTGCTCGGAAGTCCGTCGGTATACCGTCGAAAATTTCTGACGGATATAACGTCCGTCGGAAATTCCGTCGATATACTGCATGTTTTCTTGTAGTGTTCTATGGTTCGATACGATGTAACAGATTTAGAGATACACCTAATTCAATGGGGAAAAAGAGAGATCTTCGAGCCGTTGCTGGAGAGGT